ACTGACTCACTGACTGACTGACTAAATGACAGGCTGACTGACTGAATGACTGACTGACTGACTCACTGACTGACTAAATGACAGGCTGACTGACTGAATGACTGACTGACTTTCATTGACAGACTAACTGAATGACGGACTGACAGAGAGACTTTCAGACTGACTGACCGAGCGACAAAGAGATCACCACCAGACGGGCAATAAATAATGACAGGTTCCTCACGGGAAACCGCGAGCAAGATGTGTTATTAAGTGTTCAGCCAATGGCGAAGATGAAAACGGTCATCATGGTATCTTTAATAATTTTTGTTTTGCAGGTAACACAGACAACCTTTACGATGAAGTTGCCACAGTGGGCGGAGGAGACCACGCTCTTAACACGGAGTTGTTTGTACCTCAAGACGATATGAAACGATTTTCATCCGCGTCAGGCGATTACGAACCTGTTGAACCGATTTTAAAACCAGTTTATCCGGCAACCAAAACTTCTGCAAACGACGATTATGCGGAGATTTTAGAACCAGGTCGCAGATCAGATGCGTCCGGTAGCGGTAGCGTGGGGCCTGTGCGGTTGGAGGTCTGTAATTCGCCGGCGAACATCTCAGTCACGGTGACAAGTTCAAAAGAAGCATGCGCAGATGATGATAACATCGAAGAAACTCACTACGAATTAGTAGCTCCTCGAGATAGGAAACGTTTGGAATCAAGTACACCAAATGGTTGATGGCTTTGATTGAGATTAAGGGGTCTGAGGGAGAATTCTCCTTAGTGCGGAACCTACAATTCTTTGCCAGCTTTTACAGAGGATTTGGTGTTATATTCTAACAACCTACCCTACTCGATAAGTTCCTCAATTCTCAACACTGATGTGTTTGGCATTACATAAACATTGTAAGCAGAATGTACATGCTGATGTCTCTTGGGCCAAAAGGGTTTAACAGAACTGTACTTGTAGAAAGAAGGTGAACCATTTTAAGATATTTACACGATAAATCGGTGTCTAAAGTGAGTTGCCCGTCAAATTTCTGATCACCTTATCGTTGGAATTCGTCGTTTTTACCTCATAATTAGGGTCTGTTTTTATTTAAGTTTTAGATTGACAGTATTTTGCGGGAAAGACAGAAGTAATAATGCGAAACCTGTCGTCCTTAAAATGACGTCTCAAACCTGCCCCTTTTGAGATACTCCTATTTGACATGCGTGTACTTTACCAATCCAGAAACAAAACTCGCTTTGTTAGACTGTTATGTTTAGGGGAATATTTTAACTAGCAGATGAAAAATTATTTTTTTACATATCAAGGGTTGAACGAAGTATAAAGGGACCTCACTCACGTAACCAGTTATGTTAACCGCAGTCTTTGAAATTCTGTTATTGAGAAATTCATTTTATAAACAAGGATAGTTTTTAAGGTCTTTTGGGTGTGATCGGTTAGGAAGGTTTTGATATCTCTGTATCAGATATTCAGTAGTTTTTTTTTTGTTTTTTTTTTTTGCACTTTTGTTTTAAGTCAATGCTAAGTGTTGCAACGTTTAACCATCAGGATGAACCCATAGTTTAATATTCGAGTGAATTGCACGGGCTGTGTGTACGAATTGTCCATTTTGTAGACAGTAGTACATTTTACTGATAGCAATATTATATATCGCTTTTAACCATCTGACGAGTAAATAGCGATTGTAGTGCTATTTTACATCAGTTTTATCGTAAATGAATGTTAGGAAATAAACATTTTAGTGAAGTTTACAAATATATGAATCCTCTGTCGAAGGGAAGTTCTTTCATTTTGTTAGGAGATATCAGTAAAACCACGTATTTTCCGTATAATCTGTCGCTTCACTGCGGGTCAGGCAGCTATTTTTGCGCTGTAGGGGGGATGGAGAACCCACCCTCCTTTGATACCTGTACGATGTGCATCCAAAATTACTACTCGGCTGCCTTTTAATTCATGCGTCCCGTTAGCTCTGTGCAGATCAATTTGGTGATGTTCATGATGATGATGATGACGACGATGGCTATTAGAGGGACAACGACAACGATAAAGATGATAACGATGACTGTGGTGTTGTTAACGATGACGATGATGATGACGAGTACCACGATGATGATTACGAGTACGACGATGATGATGATGATTTAAACGATGATGACGACTAAAACAATGTAATCCTTTGACGACGATGATGACGATAAGAGTGATGATGTTAATGACGTTAAGAATGACAAAGATGCTAACAATAATAATAATAATAATAATTATTATTATTATTATTATTATAGTTTATTTATATAGCGCACGCATCCACTACTTGTTCGAGGCGCTTTACAAAATTAATCCTAAAACTATGAAACTTACTTTAAAAAACTGATAGGTTTACTAATAAGATTTCATTATTTCTATCATTTCATATTGTATGCGTGCATTATCTGGCGTTATCATCACAGCTTTCTTTTATAAACAGAAACCCACATAAGTGGAACTAAACCCTGACTAAAGTAATTTTCCAGCGCTTTTAAAAGTTAGCCATTCGTGAAAATCAGAGATCATAAAATGTTTAGTTTTTTATCAATTTTTTTTATTTTTAGATTTTGAATTACACAATGTAGGCCATCGTGCTTAAGAATTGAAACACCATATAAAAAATTGTCTCGTTTTTTCAAGGACTGGCTTTCTTCAAAAGCGCAATACGCAGAGAATAACCTCATTGTCCAAGAAAAGAAACCAGAAAATGAAAAAAGAAAAATTGACTATAAAAGCGCTAGCATTATTATCACTAAGCCTAAGCACCAGAAAAGCCCCCATTCAGTTATCTCGTTTTTCTTTCGCCATGTCCGGTACAAAAATTAAGCATTTATGCACATTAACCATTTTTATTCAATTGCGTGCACGAAAGTTTGCTGAATCGGATATGAGATTCTTATTAGTCACATGGACAATTGATCGGATCAAACTGCGCGCACCTACCCCTCCCCAATTAACCCAAAATTAACCCCAGCCTGTTATCAGTCGACTGTTGTTGGATTAGGGGAGGGGTGGGTGTGCAATTGCTCAGACACTGACAAGATGACATTGCTCTTATTGATCTTTCCGTGTCAATGGGTTTCTTCATTACACATTGAAGGAGCCGTACACGCATCGGCCTTATCAGTTCCTAACACTTCTTTACAAAGCAAAGGCTCAACGTAGCGACGAATGACAATATTTCTGACCACAGGTCCATACAGGTACCTGTAGTAACCTTAGCACCTTTGCTTGATAGTAGATAATATTACCACCTACTCTGAGAGTTGTGGTCATCCCTAAAACTGTTTTAAAATGGCTGTACGACGCGTTAGTTTGGGAAGAACGCTTTCACAATATTGCTTTTTCGGTTTGGCCGCTCTTTCCGTTTATCTTCAACAGGCAAGCATGGCACCGAATCAGTTCTTGTTAACTGGCCGGCCGTCAAGCGGAGATGCCGAGAACATGAGCGATTTTGTCAGGGGTCAAGTGTTAAAAAAATTGCTAACCTTTTACGCTCCATATAGATATCAAAAGGCTACAGGATATGGGACTCAGTCGAGGGGAAAACTTAATGATAAGCGATCAAAACGGGAAAATAACGAAGAGTCATGTGATCACTTCAGCGTGGAGGCAAATTGCTCCAAGTGTGGATTCCATGGTATCTGCGAGCGCGGCTCGGCGAGAATTTCTCCCTGGCTTTCTTTCGCCTTAAAGACACAACGGGAACTTCAAATTGACGCCCCCATTAATCTCGTGCAAGTTCTTGGAGCTCATAATTCCTACAACAACAGAGCCAGTGGTTATGGGGATTTAGACGATTGTCATTGGCCACATAGAGCAGATGACGTATGCATCGCATTTGCTAATCAGGAGTTTAGTTTCACGGACCAGCTTAACATGGGCATGCGTAATATGGAGATTGATCTCTGGAAATGTTTTAACAAAATCCGCATGAGTCACGGTAATCAAAATTTTTTACTTGGTTGTGTCCCATGGGATAAGGAATTTGAGGATGGAATGAAAGAAATCTCGGACTGGACTAAAAAACACGAAAACCAGAATGAAATACTTGAAATCTTTTTCGAGGACCATACAACCCGCGAAGAAGATTCATCGATCAACCAAGTTATTGAGGAATACTTCGGCGACAGAGTTTTCACACCGAGTGATTTAAAACAGAGGTTTGGCGATAAATGGCCAAATACAAGACAATTGCGTGAAATGAAAAGAACAATAATTTTTTTGGACGGAAACAATCATTCAGCCCGTTTTCTTCATAGTCATTTCTGGAGCAAAAGTTACACTGTAAAACACTTTGACGCAGATGTTAAAAATTGTTCTTTTAAAGGTAATAGTAAAGACAGTGTCAGAATCTATAGTGATAGCACCGTGTACGGACCAGTGTATAATGGTATTAGAAGCAAGGGAACAATCATGGATTTCAAAAAATATCTATTGTGTGGTGTCGGCGTTCTTGGCGCGGACCAAATAAACGCTGAACTCATGAAAACAGCTGTATTCACGTGGGCTGAGGGTGAACCAAAACAGGCCATTAATGAATCTTCATGTGTCATGCTCTCACGTGACAAGAGATGGTATGTGAGGGACTGTAACGAGGAACACTATTACGCATGCGTTTCAAAACAGCAGAAAAACCATTGGAGTTTAAGCGCGGGAGTGGGAAAATATTCCAGTCCGCTGTGCGGAGAAGGAATGGAATTTAGCGTTCCAAAAAATGGATATCAACATCAACAGCTCTCTCAAGCAGCTCAAGGAAAGACTGTCTGGTTAAATTTCACGCCATTTATACCACTGCTCGTACATTAGACATTTATGAACTTTTTTTTGTACAAGGTTTAATTTTTAAAAACAGCAGAGAAAGAATAACATAATCATTCAGTTATAACTGTGGTGTAAAAGGTTATACTGACAAAAAATACTTTATATTCAGACACGAAGGAAGAAAATAATTGAGATGAGGTTAATTTAGCAGAGGGAGGGGGGGTTACTTCTTAGAAAGAGGCCAACAGGGACTTGCCTCAGAATGGGGTCGCATTTTCACCACTGGATTGACTATAATGGGGTTGCACTTTCAACAGAGTTACTAGAATGGGGTAAATAAATTCTGGATAGTAAAGTGTTAAAAATGAGAAGATTTGTTGTTCAAAAATTGTTACAGTTGCTCAAAAGTGACTAGGCTGGGCTCTATAATTGGTAAAAGAGTAGATTGTAATGAGGTAAGGGTTCTGAAAGGCCAGCGGCACACATACTCAGCAAAGATTGACCAAAGTATCCCCCTCTGGGAATAAATTTCACTATACAAAGAGGCGTTCTAGCAAGTTCAGAAACACAGACTTTGAGTATTATCACGGCCCTTGCAAAATAATTGTATGATTGCAATAAACTTGGACCTCTGAGAAATTCAGTGATTAAAACATGAAGGAGGCTTAGGAGGAGACTAAATATACGCCACGAGTAAAAGTTAATTACGAGAAAATTAAAACGTGCAGTCTTTATTTAAACTAATCTTGTATCCAGATCCTACCGTTTAACCCGACCCCGGCAATCACTTGACTGTGAAAGGCTTGGGTATGAGACCATAATTCAACTTTCTTTTAAAATATAAATGCTTTTGCAATCACATCATTTGTTAGTTAGACGGGCGCTAACAACCAAATAATGAAGGATGTAAAATATAATGGTGAAGCAATTCTGCTACTTATACACCTAGGATAAAAAAAATATAGGTTTTAGATGGTTATTTAGTATCCACATTGAATATTACAGCAAATTATCGGGTCAAAATGATGATGGTTGTCGTTACAATAAAAGTTCATGCGAGCGAATTTGCATGTATTCGTCTGACCACTTTGTGTAGGACACTTGAAAATCCAGTTATCAGGGTTGCACCCGAGAGCATGTGCCCCTGGACGTGAACCTTGACACATTCGGACGCGGCCAATACTTCTAGCTGTGAATGAGAAAAGATTTTGAGAAAATAAATAAATAATAAAAGAGAAAGGTCACTAAAAAGTAAAAGTAAATATTTACCAATAAATAAAGACTTACTTTGCATTCTATGCAAAAGTGTTTCACATTTCATTATAATTTGATACTTACTGTTATATCGTGACCTTGTTTTGTTATACTTGTGTTACATTGTATTAAGTTACGTCACGGTTGTGTTACGTGTACATGGATGCGCCTTCGCAGAGATAGAACAGGAATAAAAGGATCTTG